GGTGCTAATTCTCTGCTTTGGGTAAACTCTGAGGGGTTGGTCGTAGAGTGGAGGTGATTGTATGGACCCTGGTAACTAACCACAGACTAGGCTCCATGTTGCATGTTGAGGACTCGAAGATGAAACGACACCTTTCTCTTTCAAAGATGGTGAAGACACGTTTATATGTATATAAAAATAAGTGACTTGAGACTGTGACTTTCGGCAGCGCTATATACTTTACAGCACGTCACAGACTGCTTTAGGAGTATCCAGAAAATGTGAGGTGACATCTGTAAATTTTCTCCTGCCTTTGCTGTCCCCCCGTTCCGCTCCCCTTCCACCTGGGTACTGGCAGTCTCGTCTGCTGCGCTTCCCGCGTGCACCCCGTATGCGCCCCTCTCCTGTTTCTAGTCGGATTCAAGTCTCACCATACGCACATCTCACACGTCACGCTTCCATCCTCGATTCCCATGCCTCTTTCCCGAGTCCCTTCTCCACGTGGTACCTGGAGTCACGTTCCCTTAGAGCCCTCGAGTGGCATCCCAGTGCACTCGGAGTTCAATCCCAGCTCCTACCTGTGGCTCAGATGTTAGCTCCTCAGACAGCCATCCCGGCCTAAAGGGTCATGAATGCTGTGGGGACTCGGGGGAGCAATCAGTTCTGGCCTTGGGGAAAGAGAAATTTAACAGAGATCTGGTTCTTTGTAAGTAGGATTTTGTTAGACAAAATTATGGACTGAACAAGCGTTTAAAGAGTGCCTACTATGTGCTAGGTAGTCATAGTTGTGCTTTCTTTGGCAAGTAATGATGACTGTGAGTGGTTATCTTTGAAAGGAAGTTGCTATATTCAGAAATGAATTCCTTGACAAAGTCACAAAGTTATGAAGTGTTGTCATGGTTTCTATACTTAAAAAAATCCCACCTGTCTCTAGCCATCCAATGACATCTTTTATTTTAAAATACCGAAGTGAACATCAGGAAGATTAACTGTGTTGTCTGTGTATACCAACTGCAGTTGATAAAGTGACATTTTTGTTTGTAACTAATTTAGTGCCTGATCTTCACAAAACTATAATTTAGCGATTTACTAATTTCATCCTTTGTGTAGTTCTTCAGAATGTTGAAGGCTTTGACCAGGTTTTCATTTTGAGTCTTTTTGTAATGCAGGTAGAATGATAGTGTAAAGATTATAACATTTTTGTCTTTTTTTGCCGTGCTCCTTTAGATCTCTTTATTTTTTGACTCCGTAACTGTGGTTCTTAAGTCTTGCCTTCCTTCCACGTTCTTTTCTCTGAAAAACTGCGCATGTGCGTACAATTTCACGTAATAAATAGCATTTCAGAAATTTACTCGTCGATTTTTCTCAGCTAAAAATCCTCTTAGAGAAAGCTGGAGATTCCTCTCAGAAGAACCTCTGAGCCGACCCTGCCAATGCTCTCTATTGCTCGTCTGTACTCAGGTGTATAGGCAGTCGTGTTGTGACTCAGGCCGGTCGTGCGTTAAAGCAGACCTTTGTGTTTCACTGGACCAGGGAGAAATGGGGGGGCGGGGGGAAAGCCAGTGTAGAGAACTGTATAGAAAGCTAGTTATTACATTTACAGTCTATTATGTTGTCCTTACTTTGAGATTTTGAAGTTCCAAAATATCCTTATTTTAATAAGTTATGGCGATCCCTCCTCCAGCCCCAATAGCCTACCTAACAAGTAGGCCAAAATATTGTCAACCAATTCTATATTGATTCATGCAATCTGTGTTTGAAGTTCATGGGTCTGTGAAATCCAAAACTGGGTACCATCGGCTGCTTTTGTGCACGCTCGTGATTGGAGTTGGTGTCTTGAATAGTTTTCTCCTCACATCAACATCCAGTTCTATTTTTCCACACCAACTGGGTGTCCAACAGTTCAATTCGGTTGTGACACTGTCTGGAGTTAGCACAGACCCCACAGGTTAAGGGCTCAGTCCCTCCAGACTGCCCCCACTTTAGATGCCAGCTGCCAGGGAGTACCTCACCTACACTGATGCCTGGCTGGCTATAGATTCAGGGGTTCCCACGACACCCCTTCAGGTTTGATAATTTACTGGAACGACTCCTAGAACTTCGGAAAGTACTTTATTTACCATTACTGGTTTATTATAAAGGGAACAGCCAGATGAAGAGGGCAAGGTCTGGGACAGGCGCAGAGCTTCCGTGCCCTCTTCGGATTTGCCACCCCACCAGCACCCCCGTGTGAGCTTGTTTGAGTGTTCTTATGGAGGTTTCACATTACGTAGACGTGATTGATGAAATCATTGGCCATTGGTGAGTGAATCAATTTCTGGCCCTTCTTCCCTCCCCAGAGCTGGGGGATGGGGTGGGACAGAACATTTCAGCCTTCTGATCCTGGCTTGGTATTTCCAGCAACCAGCCCCCATCCTGAAGCCTGGCGTCATTACCACAGAATGTCTGTTTCTGATAAGGAAAGGTCCTCAGATGTGGGAAGGAATGGAAGGACTTGACTTGAATTTGTCACTCAGAACCCCAGCAGGCAGTGCCATCTCTTCCTGGCATGGCCTTGATGTGGCTTCTCTGAGTGCCCGATGTCATCTAGGACTGCGAGGTCATTCAGGCTTAACCTGTCTGCCCCTTCACAGCTTCCCACATAACCCACATGGCTGTTGCTGCTTCTCCAGCAGCAGCTCAGCTCTTCCCACATCTTAGTTTTCTTCAACCTTGGCTTTTCCAGATGCTTCTTGGCTTTGTTTAGAGTTGGATTTGTATCCTTAAGATCTCATTTTGAGGATTTCTTTTCATCTTCGTTAGAAAACTAATTAACTTAATTTTTTTTTTTTTTTGCATTTTTGATCTTTCTTGGCTACTTTGATTTGTTCATTTGGCGATGTCTGTTTCTGTGGTTATAGCTTTCCCAGGGAAAGTGAAGTGACCAGGCATTTGATTGTTTACTAAGTGATTTGTATATTAATCACTAACTAGTCAAAGCTGTTTGGTTAACTGTGCTTCCTTATTCAGAACGCTTCCAGCAACCCACTGTATAGCAACAGGGAGAAAAAAGGCGGGAGAAGAAGGTGGGACATTCTAACTCCTGGTTTTAGATTTTCTGTATATTTTTTTAACATTTTTTTTAAGCGTGGAATGGCCTGATGTACAAAATAGGAGTTCAGCTATCGCTTTAGCTTGTATGATCTCACTGGGGCTTTCTTGAAGAGACATTATTTCTTGAACCACGAGAATCATATTGTCTGTTCAAAAATATTAATTTTTGAAAACTGGAAAATACTGTTCCGTAGTGATTTATAAATTCGTTTATTGAATTACTTACAATTAGTGGTAAATTTGTTTCTTGGATTGTGTGCTGTAAGAGGCACTTTGCTTTAGCTCGTTTCATGTAATCTGCCTATAGGGTTATGTAAATGTTGTCACTCAAGTATTTCTGTTGTGAGTGATGAAGAGATTTCAACTGCTATGCTGACAAATGTTCTGTAATCAAGCTTTTAAAAATAATTCAAACTTTAGTCATTGGCTTGTTTCCCGCGCCCCCCTCCCCCCCCCAGAACTATGCTACTAAAAAATTTCTGTGCAGCATCAAAATTTAGGCTATCGCTGGGTTTATTTTACTGTTTGTGCTGCTCAAATATGTTACAAGTTAGTGTTTGTACACTTTCTCTCATGGAGAATTATAAATCTTTGTAGCCTCAGTGTTCTGAAGCCATGTTACTGCTCCTCAGCACTGTCACCTCTTAGGTCTCCCATGAATCTTCTGTCATCAAGTCGCATGACGGGTCAAGTAAAACACATACGTACACTGTTGAGAGATGGGGCAGAAGCGTTTTAAATGGGAAGCATGAAAGTGACTTTTTGTTTCTGAGGATATTGGAAAAGAACCTGCATAATTTACTGTTTAAAATCTTCGAGGCTAAAGTTGGTGGCGGGGAGCAGGGCTTTCGTTAACGATGAGGCTGGGTGGGCTACTGGGCAGCATCTCCATTAACTGCGGCTCCCACATCAGATGGGTCTTTTCTGTGGGGATTGGGTTCTTTCAGTTGGGTTAATGGATAGTCAGCATCGAGTTGATGTACCTGTTTTCTTCTGTCCACTTTTGGTCCTTGATTTTTTAGAAATAAAATATGGTATGAAATAAAGTAAAGTTCACATCAGTCTTTTTTTCCCCCCAGTAGTATAATAGAATTTTTGAAAGATGAAACTAGTACTTAATATGAAATTAAGATCATCTCTCCTCATTTTATGTATTTGCGTATCTCAGTCTTGGTAATAAATAATTTGAGATGAAGCTGAAATTTAAAGATATCCTGGAGTTGCTCTTTTCTTTAATATTTGTCTGTGAAGATTAGCATTAAAATCTAGAAGAATCCCTAGGAAGCATCTCATTTTACTTTTTCATTTTTAAATGAAGAAATCTGCAATATAGGGTGGGACCTTGCCCCAATGGAATCTGAAGCTGAGTCATATTGCTATCCATCGATGGTTAGTGACCACTCCCTGTCTCAGGGGCAGATAGAGTTTAGCAGAGTTTAGCATATAGACCTTGAAGCAAGCCTGATGATAAAAATAATTTTATCAGTAGAGAAGGGAATCACAAACGGGTCACCAGTATTATAAACACATTTATCATTAACCAAGTGGTGATTAATTTATACTTGTAGTTTTATTCAGTTTAATGAATGTATTAGATACTCAAATTTAAAAGAATACATTTTTCGTGTTGCTCATGTCAGTGTTCTTCATGCGTCCTGAGCTCTTTCGGGCCCCTTGTCACACTTCATTTTTTTATCCATCTTTCCCATGCAGCTGTACCCATAAGGGCAGGAAGCTTATGTCTGGTTCACTGTTGTTTCCAGGAAAGCATTAATTGTTGACTGCTGGGTTGGCTAACTGAGTTATGTGGCTCTGTGGGAAACAGCATATTTTAAATATCTTAAGCTTGCTTGCTTGCTTGCTTGCTTATTTATCTATTTATTTATTTATTTATTTGTTTGTTTATTTATTTATTTTTCTTTAAACAGCGAACAGAGTATCTGTCAGGCAAGAGCTGCTGTGATGGTTTATGATGATGCCAATAAGAAGTGGGTGCCAGCTGGTGGCTCAACTGGGTTCAGCCGAGTTCACATATATCACCACACAGGCAACAACACCTTCAGAGTGGTGGGCAGGAAGATTCAGGACCATCAGGTAAGGGTCTGTTCAGTTCTTAAAGTCATCTTGTATTACAAAAAGGCTTAGCACATGCAGTAAAATACAGTAGTGCTTTAAAACTATAGCCAAAATAGTATCCATGGAGGAAAACAGTACTGATGCATAGTCCTAAAAGTATCTAAATGTTGGCAAAAAAGAAGACAGATATTTAAAAATAACTAGAAAACTGTTCAAGTCAGGAATTTTCCTTATGAAACACTGAAATTTTTATTCATGAGTAAACTATCCTATGATTTCTAGTTTTTGACAAATGGAGCAGTCTTAAAATGTTTGGAAATTTGAAAACGTTTCTAAATAATTCATGACACTAAGATGAAATTATGAAGATTTAGAAAAAAGTACTTGGATCTGAATGACAAGGTATTACATATAGAAACTGTCGGACATCTAAGCTGTGGACAAATCTTAATGGCATATAATGAGCTTAACCCAAAGAAAGCAGAAGGAAATAAAAAATAAAAGAAGAAAATAATTAAATAAAAATAAATAGAAATTTTTAACACGTATTTGCCCTACTGAATATAAAAATTGGCAGAATCAAGCAAAAAAAATTACAAATAAACACTATTAGCATTGGAAAAGAGACATCACTGTGTTATAAGGAAATATATTTTGTAAGATAATATGAATAGCTTTATGCCAATAAATGGACCATTTTGTAGAAAAATATAACTTACCAAAACTAGTAGAATAGAAAAACGCAGACCTGCAATCATAAAATATATCAATAGTTAATAATCTACCCCCAAATTTTTAAAAATGGAGGGAATCCAGAGCATTTCCAAACGAAATCTAAAAATCTTCAAAATACTACCTGTTTTATGCAAACCATTGTAAAGAATAGTATTTTATGAGGCTGGTCTAATTTTGATATCTAAAACATAGAAAAGTTCGAGAGAGGAAAATTATAACCAGTCTCTGTTATGAACATTGACACATCTAGAAGTCCTCAATAAGAGATTAGTGATCGATGCAGGGACGTATATGAAAAAGAAAACGACCACCTCTTGACCAAATTCGGTTTATCTCCCTCTATCTCAGTCACTAAAGATAGTTTAACATTAGATAACCTGGTAATGTAACTTACCAGAAGAAAACCTACACGAAACGAGATTCGGGAAAAGCATTTAATAAAATTAAAATCCGCACGTAATAATTTTCATCACGTTTGGCATAAAAATAAATCGTCTTAAGCTAATAAGGATTAGTAATATAAACAATACAGTAAGCATCTTACAGGACAGGGCAATGGTGAGTTTCCATTCAACTCGGGAATAAGTAAGTTGAGATTTCAGCTTTCATCACTTTTAGCATCACAATTTAGCATTGCGAAGGAGGTAACTGGGTGATGTGAAGATGAAAAAAATAGGAGCTTTCAGGATCAAAAAAGAAGAAACAGCAGATTTTATACACCAGTGATGTAATTGTCTGCATAAAAATCCCTAAAGTATCTGCAAATGAAATATTAGAACTAACAAGATTGTTCAGCAAGGTTGCTGGATCAGTATAGAAAAGTTAATAGCAGTTTTGTATATCCCCCAGGCCATGACTTGGGACCCAGACGTCTCAAGCCCTGGGAAGAGGTTCGACTCAGAATTAGACTGGCCTTTGTAGGAACTGAAACCTAGCCTTTTCAGTCACTTTTGGATTAAGGTTATTTGAGATTCTTAGTTTCCCTAGCTGTTTGCCAGAAGCAAATGTAAATTTTTCCTGGAAAAATACAGCATCATCGTAGGCCTCAAAGTTTTTATACAGTTGTTCATACACAGTGCCTGGCACTCAATCGAAGTACCCGGGCACACAAGGAGATGACAGGAGCTGCTGCTATTGGAGATAAGTTTTTGTAAAATCCTTGTATTGTTGAGGGAAAGGTAAAAATATCAGTTTTTGTCTTGGATCTGTTTAAGATGCCTGTCATAATCTCATGGCAACCGCTAAAACAATAGTAAAAATATTTAACTAGCAAGCTAATAGAAGGGATAATTATAGTAAACTCTAAAAGAAGGTATGGTAGATTTAGATCCACATTTATATATAACTTACATTAAATGTAAGTGAACACTCCAATAAACCCATTTCCCGTTTGCCCGGAGAATACTCACCAGCAGAGCTTCGGCTGCAGTGTTTACCCCGAGATAACTCGCGGATTACAGTCCGAACCTCACCGTCAGAGTTTACCATGAAAGAGTTTCCTTTTATTGTTATTTTTGCATTGCTCTAGTATATCGATAATCTTTGGAAACAAATGACATCATTCTGTTTATAGTGTTCTGTTTTTAGAAGTGGTATTTTCATTTACAAAATATTGTAATTCTCGATCACTAAAAATGTCAAATCCTAGAAAACGTAGTGTTCCTACATGTGATGTTAACATTGTTCTTGAACAGTTATTAGCCAAAGATTTATTTGATGAATCCAATTTATGTGTACATTTCTGTTACATTAGGATTAGAGACAAGTTCTCTTTAGAAATAACTTCAAGAACAGTTTTCATATTTTATTTTCACATTGAAAACCAGTCAGATTTGCTTCAGCCTCAGATAGTGTGTTTATGTAAAATAAAATTAATGCTGGCAACTTGTATTTTCTAAATGGGAAACGATTTAAGAGCAGTAACTGGCAGTTTGGATCCATGACACAAAATTGATAATCTTAATATAAAATTGTAGCCACACACAAAGGACTTCTGTTGAATAACAAAGTAGGAGGACATGTTTTAGGCCATCAAGACTTAGTAGAAAGCTACAATAATAAAGAGACACTGTGACGTTGGCTCAAAGACAGGCATATTGACCAGTAGAACAAAACAGAGCCATTTATAGACTCTTGATTTATGGTAAACTGGCAGCACAGTTAATAGGTAGGATTGGATCCGTTGGAGAGCCATATTGAAACAAAAAGGAAACTTGAACTGGGTTTTACACCACAAGGCATAAGTCAATTCTAGTTAATTTGTGATAAAAGTATGAAAGTTAAAACTATTAAGTCTCTGTAAAATGATATGGGATAGTATTTTTATGACCTTGAGCTGGAGAAACATTTCTTAATCAGGTTATGAAAAGCATTAACTATAAAGGAAAAGATTGCTAATTTGGACTGAATTTGGAATGAATAAAGGTTAAGAATGTCTATTGATCAAAATTCAGTAGAAAAATGGACAAGAGGTTTAACTTAAGCAGTTACTCATAAAAGAAGTTATCCAGATAGCCATAAACATGAGGAAGTACTAAATCTGAGTGTTCAGGGAAGTGCAAACTAGAACCACAATGATGTAGTATTGATATGCACCAGCATTGCTAAATTGAAGACCGACAATACCAATTGTACTGTTGCATCGTATGTGTAGTTGTGCGTGCTGATGGGTCCTGCTGCGACAGTGAAGGTTGACGGACCAGGTTTGGAAAGCTACTCGGAGTTTTCTACTGTAGTTGAACCTGTGTGGCCTATGACAGTTCCACTCCTGGGCGTATGCCCAACAGAAATGTGTGCTCGTGTGTACAAAAAGACATTTAGTAGGATGTTCATAACATCACTATTTTTGATATCTCCAAACTTCAGACAGTTCACAGACTCTCCTAAACATGTTTAAGAGGAAAGGGCAGATGCATTACAATACTTATGTGTGAAGTTCGCCTCGTATTTTCTGGGAGGTGGGGGCAGTTAAGAAGGATGTCCTATATCTTGATCAGGGTTTTGGCTGCACGAGAATGTTTACTGAGATATGTGCTTACATTTTATATACTTAGTGAATTTATCATGCTTTAATAAGCATGGTAAAATATATTTAACAGGGGATATAGATTTTCTTTTATTTTGCTGATTTACTGTGTTAAGGCCAGACCTTTGTAACCACCAGACAGCTTCGCTTCCATCAGACTATTATTTCTAGAGTGATTTTACCCTAGGTCATTGTTTTAACCATTTTTTGCCAAGGTCTATCTGGAAAAGGTTTGAATGAATGAATATCTATCCGATCAGAATTTGTCGACTTTGCCAGTTATTACCTTGACTTTATAAAGAATTACTGTCTTTTAGGTCGTGATAAATTGTGCCATTCCTAAAGGGCTGAAGTACAATCAAGCCACGCAGACCTTCCACCAGTGGCGGGATGCTAGACAGGTGTATGGTCTCAACTTTGGCAGCAAAGAGGATGCCAATGTCTTTGCAAGTGCCATGATGCATGCCTTAGAAGTGCTGAATTCACAGGAAACGGGTAAGGTGCCCCTCGTTGACGTGCTCTCTTGAACTGAAGTGTCACGTATCTGTTAAAACATCTTTTCTGACCAGCTTTTAAATCGTATGTGTATTTGAAGTAATTCCTGAATTTCTGTTATTCTCTACAGAAATGTGAACTTTTATTTGAGGGCGATAAACATGTAGTCTAGAGGGATAATCGTATGAGATTAGTTATCATTTTTTAATGCTGTCATTTGAAGTTATTTCGTTCTGTTGATCCTGCTCTCGAACCTCAACTTTTGTTGCAAAGATGTGAGGCCCGGAGAATGTGCAGCGAATAGAATTATGCACATTTATCATTATCTCAGTTTTTGTGAAGAAACACGTTTTCTGAAGCATGTTTCTTAAGGCACCACTGAGCCCTTAAACTTCAAGTAGGACTAGGTCTTCATCCTAGTAAATAAAAATTTGGTTCTAAAAGTTGTTTCAAGATTTTCGGAGTGCCCTCATGTGGTGTAAGCTCTGAATTGCAGCTCCCCTGGCGCTGCGTGGTGCTTAGACAGCTAGCTATGTAGAAACAATTCACTTTAAAAAAACCCCACGATTTAAGACTGTGTATGTGCCAGAGGTGAGCTCTGTTTTTGTTTTTGTTTAAAAAATAGAAAAATAACTATACCAATGTATTGTTATTTCTTTGGAGAGCTAGATTTTATAATCAAAATAAATGTTATATATATAAAAATTCAAATGTAATTATTCTTGCCTTCGTGGTTTATTTAGCAGTGATCTTAATGATGTAAATGTGCTATGAACAAAGTTTATTTCTATATTTCTATATTTTAAGACTTATAGTCAAATTAAAATTTGGTATTTTGTTGAAGGTATAGAATTTTAAACCTATTGTTGATACATTAAATTTCATTTATTCCTTGCCTCATTCTAAAAAGGATTGAAACATCTAGCTCATGTGTTAGTCTCTTTGAAGTATGAATTTCAGAGCAAGAAGTCATTTTGGAATGTTGCCAGAAACCATGATATTATGCCTATAGATGGTTTAGATTAGATCTCTTTTAAGGAAATTAATATCTCTCTATATAATTGTACCTAGCTCTCATGTCTTATCTATTTTGAGAGAATAAACCACAGGAGCTTCTCCTGGTTGTCAGTAAGTCCAGAAAATAGCATAGGAAAGTCTGCATGTATATATAGTCTTGGTTGTAGATTATCTCTCTAAGTCACTGTACCTTTCTTGCAGGCATCAGTATTTTATTGGCATGCTATTGTAGGTGTAGAATTGCTTTTCTTTTTGTCACCATAGATTTACCATGCGAAAGAAACTAGAATTGTGGTTCTTAATATCTTATTACATAGGTCAGCTACATAATAAAATAATTAAAGGACCAAAGTTTAGACAGCATATGTATGACAATAATTTTTGGCTTCCTCATGTTTGGAACAAACTAGCATTTTAGTTTCTAAACCTTCAAAAGATTAACCACTGATATTAGGAACTAAATGTTACTAATATAAAGTAGTTAAAACTATTGTTCATATTGTCATCGGTTTTTTTTTTTAACCAAATGGAAAGGATTGTTTTTATCAGTGTGTAGTCACACAGTTCGCTTTCAAAATGCAAATGATAATTAATGTTTTTTTTCCTTCTGATCTTGATCTTTTGAAATTAATGAGTCTTAATGTGGAGAGACTCAATTACATTCTCTTTTGTAATTTCCACATTTGGCAATGGGAAAATCGCCCATCTCATCTCACTAGCTACACAAGCATTTTGGAAAGGGCAAAAAATTTAATAGCTTTTTCTTACGTGATTTTGAAACTTTATTCTGTTCTCTGTCACAATCCCAAACCTGTAATCCCATGGGCTGAGGAAAGAAAGAGAAAGGTGGAAGAAGCCGGCCCATCCTAGCCATCATGGCCCAAGCCGTAGGCAAAGAGGCTTTTGGTTCTGTAGCTTTTTCATCAGGAAAAAAACAAAGCATATAAAGTGGTCGATGTTTTTTATAGTCTGATTTATTTAGAAAATAACATTTCATAAATTACTGCAAACACTAATTTCTGATTTTTGATGGCATTAATTTGCTTAGATGTGGAGGAGGTAGGCGCTAAGAATCAGAAGTGTCTTTGGGAACGTATGTAATCTTTCTGTAAGTCTCCACCAAAGTAGGATAAGTGTGTACCCCACCCCAGTATCATTTTGCGGGTCCCCTCCCTCCCACCTAAACAAACATACCCAATAATGTCTGCCTCTCATCTCAAACACACCTTCCCCCTCTGCAGCTGTTTTGTTTTGGGTTCACAGCCAGGTCCTTGCTGAAACCATCCATTGTCCTTCTGCCAAAACCAAGTCGAAAAAGTTTAACTTACAAGTCTCCTCTCTAAGCAAAAAATATGCTCGAGAAATCTCTAATCAGAAGCAAAAAGAAAGCGGAAAAACCCACAAATATGTGGAAATTAAACAGTCTGGGTCGAAGAAATAAAAGGAGAGATCAAGGGATGCATAGAAACAAACGAGAATGAAAATCAAACATAACAAACTTTCGGAATACAGTAAAAGCGGTAATAAGAGGGAAGTTCATATCATTACAGGCCTATCTCAAGAAACAAGAAAAATTCCAAATTAATAACCTAACATTACATCTTAAAGAACTAGAAGAAAAATGAAGCCTAAAGTCAGTAGAAGGAAGAAAATAATAAAAATTAGAGCAGAATTAAATGAAATGGAGAACAAAAAGACAATAGAAAAAATTAATGCAACAAAGAACTGGTTCTTTGAAAAGATCAATAAAATTGACAAAACCCCTAGCTACACTAAGAAAAAGAGAGAAAAGACACAAATTAACAAAATCAGAAACGAAAGAGAAGTTATGACGGACACCACAAAAATATGAAGGATCATACAGGAATACTATAAAAGACCGTATGCCATCAAATTCAATAACATATGAGAAATGGATAAGTTCTAAGAAAGATACAACCTTCTTAGACTGAATCATGAAGAACTGAAAAATCTAAAAAGACTGATCAACAGTAAGGAAATTGAAATAATCATCAAAACCCTCCCAAAAGTAAAAGTCCAAGACCAGTTGGCTTCACTAGTGAATTCTACCCAACATTCAAAGAAGATTTAATACCAGTCCTTCTCAAACTCTCCCCCCAAATCGAAGAAGAGTCACTACTTCCTAACATGTTTTATGAGACTTTCATTACCCTGATACCAAAGCCTGACAAGAATAACACACAAAAAAGAAAACTACAGACTAATATATTTGATGAATGCAGATGCAAAAATCCTAAACAAAATACTAGCAAATCATTACAGGCCTAGCTCAAGAAATAAGAAAAATCCCAAATAAACAACCTCACATTACATCTTAAAGAACTAGAAGAAGAACAAATGAAGCCCAAAGTCAGTAGAAGGAAGAAAATAATAAAAATCAGAGCAGAATTACACGAAGTAGAGGACAAAAAGACAATAGAAAAAAATCAATGCAACAGAGCAATACATTAAAAAAATTATATATCACGATCAAGTAGAGGTTTATTTCAGAGGCACGAGAATAGTTCAACATATACAAATTGATCAATATGGTATATCACATAAACAAAATAAAGGATGAAAATCATATGATCATACTAATAAATGCAGAATAAGCATTTGATAAGATTTAGCACCCATTTATGACTAAACTACTTAATAAAATGGGTATAGGAGTACCTCAACATAATAAAGGCCATATGTGAGAAACCCTCTGCTGATATCGTATTTATTGATGGAAAACCGAAAGCTTTTCTTCTAAGATCAGGAAAAAGACAAGGATGCCCGCTCCTGCCACTCTTAGTCAGTATAGTATTGGAAGTTCTAGCTAGAGCAGTCGGGCAAGAGAAAGAAAGAAATAGCATCCACACTGGGAATGAGGAAGTCAACTTGTCACTTTTTGCAGACTGCATGAATCTTTATGTAGAAAACCCTAAAGACTCCAAAAAAAACTATTAGAAACCGTAAACAAATACGGTAAAGTTGCAGGATGCAAAATCAATGTATAGAAATTTATTGCATTCCTATATACTATATTCCTATAACAATGAAATTTCAGAAAAATGAAAAATAATCCCTTTTGCCATTGCAACAAAAAGAATAAAATACCGAGGGGAAACTTAACAAGGCATGTGAAGGACGTATACACTGCAAACTACAAGGCATTATTAAAAGATACTGAAGAAGACATAAAGAAATAGATATTTCATGTTCATGGATTGGAGGAATTAACATAGTTAAAGTGGGCATATTACCCAAAGCAATATAGAGATTTAATGGAAATCCTATCAAAATCCCAGTGGCATTTTTTAAAGAAACAGAACAAAAAAATTATCAGATTTGTATGGAATCACATAAGACCCCAAATAGCCAAAGCCATCTTGAGAAAAAAGAACGAAGCCAGAGGCATCATACACACTTCCTGACTTCAAATTATACTACAAAGTGACAGTAGTCAAAACAGCATGGTATTGGGCAGAGAAACAGACACAGAGACCCATGGAACAGAATCGGGAGCCCCAAAATAAGTCTACATATAGATGGGCATGTAATTTTCGACAAAGGAGCCAAAAACATACAGTGGAGAAAAGAAAGCCTCTTCAATAAATGGTGCTGGGCAAATGGGAAAGCCACCTGCAAAAGAATGAAACTAGTCTGCTCTTTTTAATATTAACTCAAAATGGATCGAATACGTAAATATAAGACCTGAAACAATAAATTGCATAGAAGAAAATATAGGTACTAAACTCATGGACCTTGTTCTTAGAGAGGATTTTATGAATTTGACCTCAGAGGCAAGGGAAGTAAAAGCAAAAATAAATGAATGGGACTTTATCAAACTGAAAAGCTTCTGCAACAGCAAAAGAAACTGTCCAGAAAACAAAGAGACAGCCAATCAAATGGGAGAAGATATTTGCAAGCAACCCCTCTGATGAGGGGCTAATATTCAAAATATAAAAAGAATTCATGCAACTCAACAACAA